AGGGACAGATTCCAGACACACACTGACATCTTATCCACAACATGCCTGATCTCATGGCGCCCAACCCATTAACCCCTGACCAATCCAATAACAGGCATGTAGTAGTTACCAAGGGACGAGAAAGGCCTGTCTGCCATCATGATACCCCATTTAGTTGCTGTTGGTCAATTAATCATTTTGGAGATGTATGAACTCCACTGGGCATCACATGTCTCAGTCATAGTAAGGTCATAAGGTCATAACAGCTATTACAATAGGTGAAACAGTTGCCACAATAAAAACAATAATAATCACCAAATTCAGAAGTCTGATCCAAAGCCCAGTTCTGCGTCAAAATACTCCCTGTGACCGTATCATAAAAAAGCGAAATTCATACATTAGTTTTCTGCAGAAATGCTGCTGCATTTTCTCGGCCCGAGGCAACGTGAAATGGACTGAGAGACGTTGAAGAAGTGTTCTGTTGTCAAATGAGTGCACGATTCAGCTTGTTTTTAGGACAGAAATAATGTAGTATTCAAAGTTTCAAAGATGATAAAGACGACCTGGACGACAATTGGAAGATGTTGGACTGTAGATGAGAATTTGACAATCTTTTCAGACAAACCCAGTTGGATTTTCTTTTCTTTTTTTTCCTTCTTATTCTACACATTACAGAGGTTTAGTTTCGAAAGAACAGAATGTGTTCGTTTGTCTGGCCTGCATGCAGTCCAGATGCATTTTCTATTGAAATGATTGGTGCATAATGTAGAGAGAATCAGATGATCAACAGTGACCATGAACTAAATAAAATAATTCCTACATCAGCGTCATGTTTGTTGGATAAGGTCGATCAGTGGAAACTTAGTCATTTTCCCTTTAGAAAAAGGTTTGACAACAAATCACTGAAGCACAGATTTGAGATTCTATTGCAACCATACCGTACTGTCTTCTCTGAAAACCAGAATGGCCTGGTACTAACCTTCAGCAATAACGAAGAGTATTTTCAAATAGTCCATTACTGCTTCAAGGTAATTCTGAGCCAGGTACAGATTTTAAAGGCTTTAAAAGAAAATACCAGGAAACTTTCCAACACACACATAAAGGTAAAGAGAAAGAAGAAAGAGAGAGTTTGAATATCCTCCAAACACATTATCTGCTTCTACACACACACACACACAGGCACACCTGTTAGCCAGCATTGAAGTGAAAGAATGTTCTCTCTTTAACTGCATCAAAAGCTTCTTTAGCGAAGGTGCGAATTGTACATTTAAATACATTCTTATAAGAAAACACTTCAAAAACAAGACTTTCTAAAGTACTTCCTCCAGCTCACTAAAAGGGACAAAATTGCATTGTCTCCTTTTTTTAATGCTACATTTTTAGGTGTTCTCTTTTAAGCTTGCGCTGATGAGTACAAGTACAATGAAAAAAAGCATCCCACAAAGGACTTCACACGTCGGCTGCATTTTTGCTGAAAGCTGACCAGTCTCACCCAAAAGATTTATTTCTGCTTAATTGCTGCTTCTCTCCTTATTCCAGAGGGAGAGACAAAAAAATTTGCATGTGCCAAGTTTTCCAATGGGCTTTATTTTACACCATCAAGAGAATTCCATGCATACAAATGGAGCTGTAACACCCCCCGGGGGGAAAGACGAGTTTTGCCGAACGCAGTTTCTCTCCAATAAATCTCCCTGACTCGCCGAGGGGAGGCTTTCCAACGGGGATGAAGTGCAAGTGAGTGTGTATGTGTGTGACAGACAAAATAAGATGATGTTAGCGGGTGCTGCGCAAAGCGACGGTCAAAAAGTTTTAACTGCACCAAAAGAAACTCAGTGTTGATGGCCTTTTATGACGAGACTTTGAGCAGCGATGGGTCTTCCTGAGGTATTGGAGCAAAAAAAATAGATGAGGAGACTAAAAGACAAGCACGTGGAGGCAAATATAAGTTGATGATACAAAACCGTAACAGACTTGCAAAGATACAAAACACCAACTCTCCAGGCTAATGGATCAACTTCACCACTGAGATCAATAAGAACAGTTTGATCTCTGATCTATTTCAGGATATTTATTTGTTTTGAGGAAGGTGGTTATAATTTTAGCAGCGTCCAGTGAGGCTTTTATGGCCCTGTATTGGACCAACAAATCACCTGTATTGTTAACCTTGCAGGAAAGTAAATGGTGGGACAGATCCTGGTTGAAATATATCCAATCTCACCTCACTGCCACAATTCCGTTATTTCACTTCTGCCTTACTCTGGGCTGATGTCAGCTGCACTTTAAACTCATGTGATAATGTAATCACGTCAGCAGATATGCTTGTAGAGCAGACGACAGGAGACTGCAGACACACATAAAAACAAACACACACATTCACACACACTCTTCAACTCAGACCTACTTTATCCTTTTAACCCTTGTCTCCTCACTCCTTAAAATAGAACACCCATCACTCAGGTCATATTTGTTTTTCACTTTGCTAAAATATTCTGTACTCGACACAACGACAAAATGACAGAATATATAAATATTTACCGCCAGCATCACAGGCCACACCAGTCTCCAAGCTGCCTGTGCCTAAAGTTACAGCTCTATGGCAACACTGACAAGACCGGAGAGCGGTTTTGCAACATCAATGGCTTTCTCCATGAATGGTGAAAATTGCGGTGGATAGTAGGCGATAAATGAAAAGACTTTTTCTTTCTTCTTCCCATGCTGCCCTGTTGTAGTGGGCAGCACAAAGATGACTGATCAGTCAAGTGGAGCAAGAAAACAATTTGCAGTGGATGGAAAAGGGAAAAAACACCTTCAGGGTTGACTAAAAATTCTGAAGAAAAACACGAGGTCATGTCAGAGCTCGGAGCACAAATTTGAACTCAAAGATTTTCTCACAAATTATTTTATTTTAGGAAAGGAATAAAACAAGAGCAGTTTACAGCTGAAGGTTCTGCAACTCAAATCAACGTGGTGGTACAGTGGCTTAGGGCAATAAGCGAATTATAAAAAAAAAACCAAAACACTGTGAAGCCACAAATAGTCATGCAATAAAACATTTAAATCTGTGTATTCAAGAGCCTCTGGTTAAAGGGTTGTATTCAGTTCCAAAAATATAAACTGGTCCCTTTTCTATCATCTGGCAGCTTGTCAGACGAAGTAAAACATGGCTGGGACCTGGCTGACACTCGACGTGAAGAGAACAGGTTTTAATACTCTGGATTTTCCTGCTTTTAAACCATGCACTGCATTAAAATGAAAGGAATGGCCTCCAAAATGGCCATTTGGAAGATCACACACAGAAGTAGCATCCTGTTGCATTTATGAATGCTTGGAGACTGTTTATTTTCCAGGTTCCAATGTACTCTGCAACGATGTGTTCACCATTCAGGGATGATAAAGGCTGACTTCACAGTCTGTGGCTGTAAAGGGATGGTTCACACTGCAGTTCATAACATTTAAAAGCCTCAAATGCAACACGTATGACGACCGGTGAGTTCAGAGACGAGGTTTAAACTTAAGCAACAGCATCATCTCGAATTAACACTCGTGAAACTACACCCTGTGAACTCTGCTGCTGTAATAATAATAATCTCGCAAATGACACATTTACGTTGGACGTTTGCTGCAGCTATATTCAGACCTGTTTTTCTTAAAGCAAATCATTGTATACGTTTCGGGCTTCACTGCTGAACAGTCCTTTTTTAACCCTGCATTTCTGAAACCACCAAAAAAAGGAGAAAACAGCCTTTAGACTATAGAGTCCTCGCACCACAGTAGCAGTTCTGTCAGCCAAGTGTTGTGCCAGGACTTAAAACCACCATCCCTTGTGGGATCAGACCTATGTGGGGCACACCCATCCACAGTCAGGCCACAATCACAGAGAGAGAAAGAAACTCTGTGACTCAAGCGCTCACGTTCAACCCTTGACCTTGGGTTCTCACTTTGGCCTCTGCATTGTTTAACTCCTGTTCTGCCTGACCATGGTTTGGATAGCTGAGTTTGATGGTACCTAAGTGCCTTTTCTCTGGTTTATTCTCCAGCCAATACAGTTCAATACCATAGTGTTTTCCTAAAGGTTTATCAAAAGGCAACTTTGGGAATTAGCAGCTGTTTTGCAATGGTACTGACACCCACACATCAAGATGTAAGTAAAATAACATTTTGCTGGATCACAAAAGGTTGAATAAAAAAAACCAACATAGGTTTACATTTACAGTTTGTATATACTGTATGTGTGGCACTGGGCTGACTGCCTTGGGTTCACCATGCAACCCAACACTCCCACAAGAGAACAAACGAAAAGTCAAACACTGCAGGCACCGCAGAGTGTAATTCACTGTGAGCTGAACTGTGAAATTTCATTCAGGTGCCAACCAACATGACTCAAGACTCAAAAGTGGCACAGCAGTGTGATGTGAGTATGTCAGGAATAGGTCAACTTCCTGTCAAAGTCTGGAAGAGAAACTTGTGTCAAATACTTGTGCTATTTATTTTTTATTCCCGTGGGAAATCTCTGGGAAGACACCACTGTTCACGAGCCGTTCAACTTGTGTTCCGGCTTCTTCACAGCGCACGCTACAAATATTCACATTCGAAACAAGTACACTGGTAATAGCAGGAGGATAAAACCGTTTAAATGGAAATGAAACAATATAACCTCATAGTGCCACAAATGAAAGTTTAAAAAGGTGAAACAAAGAGACCTTTGCTTAATGACAGTCATCTTCTGGCGTAGACCACAAAATGACTCTGAAGTTCGTCATGTTGAGTATCTCTCTGCAGTAGCCCACAGGTACCAATGTGTCTACAGCCATTCTCAGCAGTGTGAAGCTGATTTTCCTTTAGTTGCGTTCCTCTGAGGGGTGACCACAGTGTTAGACCATAAAAACCTGTGCTCGAGGAAATTAACTACAGCCGAACCACAATCTAAATTATTAGCTCAGGGTAAAACAGAGCCTCGAGCTGCAGGAGTATGCATGGCTGCGATCAACAGCAACGGAATATAGAGTACTTGCTAAACAACTGTTACTCCTACTTCAACTATGAGTAAAACTGATTCGATTGAAGCCATTGAGTCTCCATACAACCTCTGTGCAGTAAAGGATCAGAGTACCATCACTCCTACTGTGGAGAATACGTGTAACCGCACACACTGGAACTACTGACTTCCTTTCTCTTTCTTTTCTTTCACTTTGTGCTGCAGCCTCTGTGTTAGTGAACCATGTCGGATTGCTTACTGAAATGTCGGTCCTCTTTATGAATGCTCCTATATTTCAACTAAAGCATTAAGCCACTGGAACTTAATGGGCCATTCTGGTACATTAGAGAACACAAACGCATTGACCAAAGCTGACCCACTGGCTGGTGTGTACTCCTCTTCCCGCAGAAAAGCACAAGGTGAGAACGTATTGCGTTAGCTGGGCAGTTAGTCATAATCATTACACTTCATTGGCGCAAAGGGAAGACTGCCATCTCAGCTAAGAGTGAAGTGAAAAGGACTGGTAGAAAAAAAATGGTTCTGCTTGTGTTCATGTGGAGCGGTTATTGAAGATGTGTTTGTGCCTGTACATGAATCAGTGTACACGCGCAGTGACCTTGGTCATCCAGCGAACCTGGATGGAATGCTCTGTGATTAACTGACTGGAAGTCTGTTGGACTGCAAACAGCTCAATGACATTTTACTGCTTAGCCGTGGATAAAAGCACAACATTAGTGATTGCCACTGACACTTTGCCCTGACCTAATTTTATCGAATTTCCTCAAAAGCAATGCAAGGTAAGGGCAAGGAAATCTGATGCAGGATATACAGTGTCGAAAAAACTGCCAACCATGTAATAAAGGAGAATCGGGTTGACCGGTTTTTGAAATACAAAAAAAGGAAAGGGAAGGAAAGAAGGAAAGAGAGAAAAGTAGAAAAAGAGGGGAAAAAGTTGAGAAGTTTGAAAAGAAGGTAAAAAGCAAAGGAACCAAAATGGAGAAGAGAACTGTCACTATATCTCCTTGTTTACCAATCATCTGTGTATTTAACATTTAAACCTTTAAAAATATTAAGTAATTTAATCTAAAACAGAGACGGCGTCTAACGTTCAATCAGACAGGTGTGTGATGTGTCGACAGCTCCTCTGCATAAATGTATTAAACCCATCAATGCCTCTGAGCTCAGGCCGCAGTAAAGCAACAGGAAAATAAAGAAACCATAGCATCAGCCAAAAGTCTAAAATAAAGATTTGATCAGGTAAGGTGACAGAGTTTTATCTGTAGATGGTTCAGACTGACTCTTAAAGGATTACAGAGGAAATACAAGTGTGACATTGAATTGAAAGCAACTAACAGTCTTAAAAAGTACCAGAAAACGCACTGTCGCTGTTTGATGGAAGTTGAAAAGCTCAAGATTCAATGAGTTGAGACATCGAGGGCAGACAAGTTCAAGTACCTGGGGTCAACAATTTGAAGCATTGAAGTAAGAGCACGGTCAAGAGAAGTGGGTGGAGGCGACTGTCAGCCATGACTCGAGACACGGCCTGAAGAGTGAAATGAAAGGGTTACGAGATGAGAGTAAGAGCTGCTGTGATGTAGGGTTTAGAGACAGTGGAATTGGCTTAAAGACGGGAGGCTGGGCTGGAGGTGGCAGAGCTGAAGATGTGGAGATTTTGGGTCATAGTGACCAGGAGGGACAGGAATAGTAATGAGAATATGAAAGCTGCAGAGAAAGGTGCGTTCCCCCTCAGCTCGAGGCAACTCCAAGAACCTGACAAAGGCAGCTGCTTTTTATGAAGGGAAAGTGTTTCACTGCATCGTTTTGGTCTTTGTGTCTTTAATTTTGTGGTCTGTTTATAGGATGAATTTAAGGGATTAATCAACTCTCGCCTGTTGCCATGTGGACACGATCCTGTAATGTATAAAATCTCCCATTGTGTGATGCCTATAAGCTGCTGCCGAGTGCTGTCATGCTTGACTAAACATTATGCAACTGGTTGCAAACCGAGTTCACTCTGCCTTTTCCCAGTGTAAATTGGTACTTCCATTCGGAGGTTGGGGAATCTCCAAACTGTTTTAAAAGTGATTATTAAATTTTGCATGTAAAACAAAAAGGATGAACCAAAGGCCTGGTATGAATACACTTAACTTTGGGCATAAACTAGGTCTGAGAAAGAAAACAGAGCACATTATAAGGTTCACAGTTTGAATCAAAGTTGGTTTGGGGACCTGCTGAGAAAAGGCAGCGTTTTGGACAAAGGATGTTGGAGGACAACTGTAGAAATGTGTACTAGGACTAAAGGCATGGAACTCAGTGAGATGGAGGCATGGTGTTTGTTGATGGGAGCAGCTAAAGGAATAAGAAGTTTCCTAGCAACTGTGAAACCTCCTGATGCAAACTGTACATACATGTGATTTACAAACTGTAACCCTGTAAGGACTGAAGTTTGATGGAGAAAAGCAACGTCAATATGGACAGAGGAAGGAGACTGGACGGAGCGAGACATCGATGGAAGCGTGTCAATGATTCTTCAATGATACACAGATGGTGGAGGAAAATTAAATCTTAATAGGATGATTGATCCTGTGACTGTGTACTGTGTACTGTGTACTGTATAAGTGTGTGTCTGAGTCTTCACTTACCTGAGTGAGGGACGAGTGGGTGCTCTGTTTTATGACACGGTGATTCTGGCAGCAGCACCGGACCTCTCCTACTGGCCACGCATTCTGGCCGTAGGACCAGCATGCACTGCAACAAGAGCAGTGCATGCTGGGTAAATGGGTGTCCCATCGGGGTCTGAGCTTGGCTCACTTCTCCTCAGGCCTCAGGGGCCAAGACCATTGGAAAAACACACCTGAAATGGAAAGAGAAATAGATGAGTCTGAGACAAGGTCGACCTACTGAATCACTACAGGTTTAAAATATTCATTTTCAGGCAGAAAAATGATTTGTTGCTAAATTGGAATATCAGACAAATGCGGAGTACAAATGAATTAGATGAATACAGTAGATTTTCAAAGAAATGTCAGGGCAAGTGGCTGCGGCAGGAACCCAGAGAGCTCAATCCTGTGACCTTTGACACACTGCTACTCCGACTCCTAATGAATGTGTTTGCACGAAAATGTCCTCTGATAACTTGTACTGCAGGATAATTTAATTGCATTAAATGATGGAAGGGAGCAATTGTTGCTAACACACTGTGCACATCCATGTTTTTTTTCTATTATTAAGTCTTTGTTACTTCATGGGGGGCCGATGGATCGCCTGCACCGCAACCCTCATGTGTGAATTACATCCTATAGCTGTTGTAAATCTGATAGATTTGTATTTACACCAGTATTCTCAATTTGCTGGGTATTAGACCGTTACACTTACAGCATATTCAGTCTTCCTGGAGAAGTCATTTAGTGCAGGCTAAACAAAGCAGTTTGCACAACTGAGTGCTGCATAATTTCTTTTCCATGGCATCAAATTGATGAGCAGTGTGGAGCGACGTTATTTTTTTAATCATCTATTTTGTTCTATTAGCAGTGTGATTCATGCTGTGCTACTGCTACTTTGTCCTCCCCTTCCATTAGGAACAGCATGCCTGGCGAAGTGAGGAAAGCTTCTAAAATGTCTAAGCTGCAAAATTACAATTTGAATTTTGTTTAAAAATGTTTTCATGTCAAATTAAGTGAATTCTGGAGTGAAGCCTGGTAGGAGCATTTTTTATCACACATTTTCATTTGTTATCCACTCAGTGGTGTTTTGTGAAAGTACCAACACAACAATCCACTCTCCCTGACAGATCGGATTTAGTGTGAATGGAAAACAAACAGAAACTAATAGAACACTGTTTTTTTGGTAAGTCAAGGGAAAATATATGCACAAAGTGGGCCTCAGAAGGGATATGTAGAGAATATTTGATCCCCCCTTAGTCAAACCTCATCTGCACTTTTCTTTGAAGAATGAATTCTACTTGAAAGTGCCCCAGTGGCTGGGGGCGCGGAGCCATTTTGGGGGAGGGTGGGTTGTGGAGTGTGCTTGAATAAGCCTCCTGACCTTGGGCTTTTGTGCTATTCACTGAAAGTCCAAGGTTTAAATGTGCAGTCAGTGGGGATGCGAGCCCTGCCTTCACCCACGGAGTAATGTAAAACACCTGTCACCCAAAGCAGGGGAAGTAAAGTGACAGTCGCTGCCAGTCGACTCTTTCTGCTCACGTTTGTTTTCATCTTAGTGATTCACACGTCAGCTTCCATACTCCTTTATATTTGTGCTCTAGTCACTCTTGTCGTTTTTTTAAACATGTCACTTTACTTCATCTGACAGATTCACAATATTTTTTTGTCTTGCGAAACACATTTGAACTGTCGGGACTTTGGCTTCAACTTGGGCTGAGAGCTAAACTTGACATTTGAAATAGGATTAATGAAGATCTGTGTTTTCCAGTGTGTAAGAGTGAAGGTGTGTGTAGAAAGTCAGGAAAATCAAACTGTTGAAGGAATTTACACATAGGCATGGCCCAGTGACAAGAACAGCAGCCGGTAGGTTCGCTGACCTTAAGGCCATTGTTACTGCTGCATTTGACCTTTTTTGATGTCATACATGTCATACCATTACTGCTACAAGTTGGCAAAGGGTTCCTGGAGTGGTATTTACTAAAAGGAAAATTTTATTTTCTACACGTTTCTCACCTACATATATATTCACAATGTGCAGGTAAATATGGACAATAAGAAAAATGTTTGTTTTTTTGCATTTAGTGTTTAGTAAACATAAGCTTATCTGTCGACTTGAACAATTCGTAATGTAATTTATGATGAATTAATGAATGAAAAAGTGTTTTTTTTTTCTAAATTAATCTCACTTTAATTTAAGAAAGCAATTTCCATAGTTGAGGCCAAAATTAAATTGCCAGCACACTCATTTTGTGTTAACTTTTACTTTCATTAATTCAACATCTGGACTGAATGGATCACCAAAAGCTTCCAAGGACAGAAGTATTTGCATAAAAATGAAGCCTAATGAAAACCTTTCATTCCCAGTGAAACACTGGAGACCTCTAAAATCAAAGAAACTTTAAATATTCAATAAATAAACAAAAACACACATGCCATTTTAAATGGCCGGGGATTGATCTGTTTTATTCCTGTCCATTATTTGCATCATCCTCCTTCGTGTAAGTAGCAGCCACAAACGACTATGATTTAAAATCAAGCCATTTGAACTGTTGTTTCGTTCCCTTAAAGTGATCTCTGGTGGATTCTGAGCTTTGCTTCAGCTCACAACAAGCCATTGACAGGTCCTGTGGGACAAAACTGGAGGAGCTGTGTGCTATTTGGTGGTCTCAACTCTAAATCATCTCCAGGGCATCAGTACATGCCTTTTCATTCTCCTCTTCATCCTCCTCCTTCTTCTCCTCCTCCTACTGCTGCCGTCGGTACACACACTCCTGCTCTTCACTTCTACAAACATGGACACACACAGCACTCAGACTCTACCCTGCATTTACAGCACAGCACTGGAATCACCTTGGGACCAGGTGATGGATAACAACGTGGTACATTCAGGGCACAGTGCAGAGGAAACCCAAGATCCACAGAAACCAACCCTGGGATAAACGATATTGTCATTTCAGATGCATGTTCAGAACACAGAATACAGTATACTACTTTTTTTTCAAGGCACTGGTTCTATGCGCCTACATTTAGATTGTTCTGTTACAAATTCTTGATCTTTGTTTTAGTGTGTTTAACCAACAAGAACACGCGTGATCTGCTATTTGGAATTAGGTTGTAGATTTGTCATGAATAAGTAAAAGAATTGAACACATCCTAATCCTAAACGCATTTGCTTTATCTGTTTGAAGCCCAGTAGTTAAATCAAAACCTGGACTAGCAGGTTCTATGTTACTCAAAACATCAGTACAAGTCACTGCAACATGAACTTCCTAAGACAACGCTTCTGTATGAGATTAAAACACAATTTGTATCCAGTCCTCTGTCAAATGCAGACTAAAGTGTCCTTTTTATAGATGTCCATAGCATTGGTGTTCTCAATGTTAAAATACAAAAACTCTACGTCTAAATCTAAAAGTTTTAATACAAATGCACACACACACATACACAGAACATTTTGTGAGTCCAGGTGTCAGCTGACTAATCAATGGAAGACTTCCTGCAGTAACGAGTGGTGAGAGGATCATATTAACACTGCTATTGATTTTGTGCGGAGGCGGACTTCATGATGGTTAAATTACACTATACATAATGAATAGACTTCTAAATACACGCTGGCATTGTCTCTGTCACACTGACACACGTGCACACTCGCTCGCCTGTCAAACACCAGTGTCGAGGATGATCCATCTGTCCAAACACAGGGGAGTGTGAGATTGGGGTCACACCACAGTGCTGATAGATGCTACTCTCTCACTCTGGCTTTCTAGGTCTCTCTCCCGCTCACTCTCCTTGCCTGAATGCAAGTGACTGATTTTTCCGCCTGTTTATCTTCCTGTCCATCAGACTGCTTCTTGCCAGTCTTTGTTTGTTGTTCTGCTTCTCTGTCTGCCAACTGGTATCTGTGATTCTGGTGACTTGTTTTCTGCCCAGAACACAAACAAACAGGAACCACGGAGGTATTTTCCTGGACTGCCTTTCTCTGGGTTTGTAAATGAGAGCCGACTGCTTTTCTCTGTGTGTGCTTTTACCAAAAGTATTGATTAGCTGGCAGGTGGTTAAAAACAAACAAACAAAAAGAAACAGAGTAACCAACCATGTTTCAGTCTTGCACACTGGATGACAAGTCATCCGACAAAATAACGAAATAGGTGACAGAGAAACTGATGAGGCATCTAAAGGAATAAATGACTGCTGCAGAAAGCACGGCGTGATTGACAGACCCAGAACCAGCTGACTGACCTTTTTTTTCCCTTTTGGTCTTAATGAGTTTTTTCTGACCTGACATCTGTCGGATTTTTAAAAAACTCGTATTGTTTCTGTCCCCAGAGGTTTTATCCTGTTCAGTGGCCACCTCCCCCTGACCTTTTCTCTTACTGTTTATGGACTCAGTCACCCTCGGTTCACTGCATGCCTCGTGGACTCGGCAGAGGATGAAAAAGAGAATGACAGAGCGTTGATATCTCCATCAAGAGCTCCTTGCTGCACAGCGGGGCCCTTTTCCATCCATGACCTCCCCAAGATCAGAGAGCAGATTAAGTCTGTGTGAAGAAAATGTTCATGTCTATTCAATAGGAGCCTGAAAGGCAAACTCAGAAAAGTTGGCCTTGTTTGTTCCCCAACCTTATCTGTGCTGCACAGGGACGGCTTTAGAAGTGCAATCAAATGTGCACATGTGCTGCCTGTCTACTTCACACACTCCCTTAGTTCTGTCTCCAGCCCAGAACCAAATCATTTAAACTCTTGTCTACATTTTCTACCAAAATCTGTCTGTCGGTGTAGAGTCTCATATTCGTTGAGTTCCTTATACCAAACATTAGAAGTGATGCTACACACTACACATCAGCCAGCTTCCGATTTGGGTATAATAACAAGAAAAAGCCAGAGGTGAGGGAGTGTGGAGTTTGCTGACCACAAACAAATAGCAGGTACTACAAACAAACAGAGACACATAAGCTGCGACTATAGTCCTTCATGTAGGACACATAACTGAACTGTAAAACTGCCCTCAATTTGTGTGAGGCAAATCATTCACACAGTCTGGCTCAATCAGGAAATATTATAATGTTTATTAAATTGAAAAATGACAGGAAATTATGCTTTTCTGTCCGACTGCCAAAGCTATGTTTTTTTTTAATACAATGCACAGACAGATTCACAGTCAGTGGTCAAGTTTTCCATTTATCGGCGGCTA